GGCTGGAAAGTACCGCAAACTATTCAATTATAGCAGAGATTTAGCGCTTTCCCACGCGCCAATCAGACACCCAAACGGGTTACTATGAGAGAAATGCTGCCAATCAAAAGTGGAACGTGGCAAATTTATTGTAGTTAAATATTGTGATCAGATAAATAGTGTAATCAGATAAACTGTTGAGACAGATTGTATTAATGGAAATGAAAGTCAATAATTGTGGGTGGCGAAATATTATACCGGATATTTGATCGAGTCACGAAACTATTTGTTTCGAACGAGTTTCGGCATCCAGAAGAAACCAATAATAGTCACTTGAGCTTTGTATTCAAACCAAACTACCTTGCGAATTGTTCGAGATCACGAAACATTGTCGAAACTCATTATCCATAAGAAATTGGCCAATCAGAGTCTTTAAGTAAGATGGGTTTAGTCAATTTGGAACACCATGATCCACGAGAAGGATGCGGAAGACGCGGCAAGCGATACGGGCAGCCACATCATGCAGCTCCGTATCGTGAGTAGAACTCGAACTCAATACAATATCATGCTCACTCGCTTCAAGCGATGGTTGACTGCGAACAGCCCATCGCTCGTTCTTGGTGGCGAGATATGCCTACCCTTACCAGCAAGTGTGTGTCAGGCCTACTTGACGTTCGTCTCTGTCAAACGAGACTCCTTGGTAAGGAGCTCACCCCCCGTCGCCACAACTCGTACTCGACAATCAACGGGTACAAGAGTGCCATCAAGTTTCTGTACACTGAACGAAAGTGTGATGTCTCCAGCGAGTTGGAATCAACTCTTGCGCATAAGCTGTAGAACTGTTTGTGTGATCTTATGTGCTCGTAGAGTTTGCCAATGGATACAAGCGGCATGTTGCTCAACTGAACGAGGATGGGGCGATCTCTATGGCAGAGGGCATGTTCGTGTTTTGATGTATATTCTGAAGTGTGAATTTTAGGTTTTATCTACTTGGTTCGCAAATCAGTTGCGAATGCGAAGCACACAGCGCAATTTGCATGTGTTCACCCGTTCTTGCTCCTCTCGTGGAATCTCATTCTGCGTTCTGCGTCCATTGCATCGATTAGGTTTGACCACATCACGTGGAAAGGTAGGTTTGTCGTTTTCCCTTATAGCTTTGACAGGTTTATTATGTCTTACTCGACTAGGAGATGCAATGTCGGTCAAATTTGGGCGAATGAAGAATGACCAGGATGGCTCGACGTGCTATCCCAAGCTCATTTATGCCAATCCAATTGTTCCTTCCATTTGCGTCGTGTTGAGGTATACTGTGTTGTTATCTGTGTCATTAGATCAATTTGCTTTAGCATAGCTATCCTGGCGTTTACTAAAGGTGTCCGCCGAGACGGGACGTCAACACTGATATTTGGCCCCAACTCGAAACCTCCACATCATGTGGTGAGGTGAATAGGGTAGGCTAGGGTGGTTCGCTGACTTTGTAGCTCAATCAGCCAATGCCAGTTTGCGCCAAAGGCAGTGAGGAAGTGCCTTGTCGAGCGACTATTTCGTTGTGTCGAAGTGATGGATTCCCAGGCCTGGATGGATCGTTTCGGCCGCATACACAACATATTTGTCCAAGAGCCACCGCTCATACATTTGTAGAGGATGTAATCCTGCTCAATCAATTAAACGGCTCGGAGTGGTTTTAAAATGACTGTTTCGGAAATAAACAAACCAGAGCGTTGTCAAAATTACATTGCAAATTATATTTGGCCAATCATAGACTGAGAATCGGATTAATCCAATCAAAATTCTTGAAGTTGACAAATTTGGCCAATCGTTATCTAAATTTCTGTTTTTCATGAATTAAGGTGACGGTGAACGAATTATGCCCAGAGTTTCCTCGTGTTCACTGAATGATTCGAAAGACTGTACAGATATCGGACAATGCCTACTAAGTGGAACCATCAGTAGTAGTACTAAAACTGTTGATTCCTTGAGTAATAAGAGGATAATTATCTCGACGCCTTCGAGTTACATAATGTAATAGTCGCTATCCATGAAAGAACTGGAAATATTGACGAAAAGCAAGAATGGTTGACAAAGTAGTTGAACTGTTTACTATTATTTGGCATGTTGCGAAACAACTGCAAAATCCTGTCACACATTGTATCCACAAATTAGATGCGAGAGGCGATCAAGATCATTTTTGCACAAGTGGTCTGTAGGTGGTGCGGCTCTGGCAGTACTGCTTCTGCGGGTGGTGCGGCTTTTGGTGGTGCGGGGTGGCTCGTGTGTGAAGACTACAAGTGTGTGGTGGCTCCGTCATGGCGCTGCGTGTGTTCGGGGTGGTGGCTCTGTGGCAGTGCTATGTGTATGCGGTGTGGCGGCTCAGTCGCAGTTCTGTGTGTGTGTACTTCAAGTCTGCAGGGAGATGGTTCTGTCGAGGTGCTAGTCAATATCCATAACGAAATGAAAGTTTCTTTGGGTTCATCACTACTCATCGGCGGTGATATCCCCGTACAACCACACACACGCTTGAAGGAAGCAAAGCTTGAACGCTTGATTGAGCTCGGCCGCTGACATGCAATCAAATCGTTGATTGGCGAGATGCGAGTGGGAGATTAGTGTCTTGACGACACAACGTGCTTTGGACAAATTTCCTACTCCCGACCTGGGAAAACCCCAAGACTTGAGTGTGCGCAAGGGGCAATGTTTTCAGTTGGGATACCGAGCCACCACACATTCCATAGGTCGCATGTTTTGCACTTAGGAAATACAAAACCTGGCGGGACATTGTGAATTTTTCCATTCCACGTCCAAATTCTCAAGCCAGTCTCGGGCACTGGAGGATCTGGAACCACGTCTTCGGGAGCATTGGGACATGGTCATGCGTCGTGACACTGCTTGTTCTCGGCGAGGATGGCTGTCGTCCTTTGGGTGATTCTCTCGTCCAACATAGACCAATCCAAAGCAATAGGTGGAGACGACCTCAACGCTGCTGCGACGCTGGAACTCAAAGCCTCCAGAAACGTGGAGAGACAGCTGGTGATGGTGGCAGTCATACTCGTGAGACCACTCTCAACTCTTTCCAGCCGCTGACTGAGCAAAACATGGAGGGGAGTGCCGGTCGCAACTTTGTACGTCGCCGAGTTCTGCATTGGTCCAAGATGAACGAGTGGTACCAGCTTGGTCATGAGGCCCGAGGTCCACAGAAGGGAGCAAAACAATGGGTGAGATTGGTCGAGAGCGTGCTGAAACCATGTGCGATGGTGCACGATCGATGCCAGCAAAATCGGGAGGGCCACTCTAAAGAGTCAGGATAGAACGATGTGTACCCTGGCATGACGGATTCCCATCCTTTGAGGGAAAGGACAGCACAAGCAAAATGAGGAGGTAGCACAGCAAAATCCACGCAGTTCATGTTGAGAACTGAGGCATGGCAACTATCCTAATATTTTCAACTAAATTACCTGCAGCAGCACGACAGACCTCTTGATCTCTACCCGCTCCAGCAAAAATTTAATGCTTTTGAACGCTGCCGAGGCTCCAACCTCTACGTAGCCACATCAACACGGATTGTGGACCACCGGGTGTATTCGACAGCGCTGTCAAAGCACCCTTCCGAAAGGAATGTGTTCCAACGTCCCCGAGCGCCAAACCCATGCTCTCGATTTCCTCGCGGTTGGCCAAGCACGTGCGTGTCGCCCACGATGCGAACTGGTGTCCTCGGACTGTCAGTGCCTGCAAAATAAGGGAACTCGTCAAAAGGGACGAGTTCCCTTATTTTGCAGGCACTGACAGTCTGCTCAGGATTCCATCCCTTACCTGTAACGACCCATTTCAACCAATTTTGGGAAGGTCGTGAAAAGTGGAGATTGTCGAATTCAAAAGGCACTTCAGAGTTTACAAAATATTAGTATATTATTATCAATTTCAAAAATGATCCTTTCATTTGGTGCGCTTTTTGCATACAAACGTCAACACTCGAATTTTTCACCAAAGTCCACTTTCTTATCTTGTTGCATCTCTTTTGCATGTGGCGACGCAGCGCCTCGTTCCCCGCAGTGGTGGCGACGGCGGTGAATTCCCGTCCACAGCTCCTCAAATCCGTCCGCATCTTCAGCAGCCAGAGTGCCCTCGCTCCATGGGAAACTTGGAGAGCAGCTATATTATCTACAGGCGAATCGGAATTCCTGAAGTCATTCCAACTGCCCAGGGATCGCGCGTCGTTGGCACATCTCATGCGTACCGTCGCAACGACCAAGGAGCGCAATGGAGGTTGAAACACACGATATCGTTTGAGAGTCGTAAGCATTTTTTCGTGGTAGACTTTGTTCCCCGCGTGATCATCAAGAGCATCGCCGCGTCATACAAGTCACTCGATTTTGACTCGAAGCAGGTGTTTCTGTTGACGCTGGCGCGCGATTTGCACGTGGATGCCTCTTCCGTATGTGTCTATTGCATCATGACGTGTTTCCGTCCTAATCGTGGTAGTCGTAGGTGCAGCAAGCATTGTCGTCGTGCGCAGCAAGTTTGTCCAACGTGATGGGGCCAGACTCGACTGCCGTCGACTGGGACCACGAGCAAGTGGACAAGTATCTTCGGTCGATTCGCGCATTGCGGGAGAATTTGGTGCCTCTTTACGTAGTGCGTTCACCATTTAGTCTGCTTTACGTCGCGATTGACAAGGGGTTGTCTGGCAGCTCTTGTTTCGACAAATGCTCTCGCAGCTGGACGGCGGGATGCTCTTCCTCGTACAGCTACGTGCGGATCTTCGCCAAGTAATGGGAAAGACGAATCCGTCGAAAGACGTTGCCGTGCTCCGCGCCCTGGACCACCACTTGCAAGTACGACGTCTTGTCTACATCGACATCGTGATGGATCGTCGTAGTCGTTTCTGGCGTCCTGGTTCAGTGTGGGGTTCCTGCGCCTCGAGCGAGTCACGTACGACCATTCCCCCGGCGCCCTCCTCGAGAAGATCATCCGGTACGAAGCAGTCCATCCCGTCGGCACAATCATCGAGCTCAAGCGCCGCCTCGGCCACGGCCGCCGCTGCTTTGCCTTCTTCCATCCAAGGTACGGATCGATGGAACCACCGAAAGAAATGCAGTGAAAGGACGGCGGATATAGTGTCCCCGACGAGCCCCTCGTGTTTGTACACGTGGCCCTCGTGCCAGAGCTGGCCGACAGCATGGCTTACATCAAGGACGCGACGGAACAGTTGCAAGACGAGCACGACGCGAATGCCTCCATCTTTTACTCGATTTCGTCGACGCAGCCGGGACTCCAGGTAGACTGGGCCATCTCTCCCGCCGTCATGACGAGGATGGAGTGGTAGGGAGTGGACCTGGGCAACTTTTTGATCAAGCAAGTGGCCAAGCGCTTGCAAGAGGACCTTCCCAACATTTCGATCTACTCGACGCTCAGTCCCATCCCTGGCTTCACCGCCTGGCTGCATCAAACGGTGGCGACGTATCGATTTGCAACGACTGATGTCGACCACGCAGGGCCATTCCCACGTGACAGACGCTGACATGGCGCAATTAAAAAGGGTACTGGGAGACGACGATGACGCGGATTCGAACGAAGTGGGTGATGGAAAGAGTGCGCGATGGCGCTGAGTGTATATTTGTAGGTGCTGAAGAGAGTGCTTGCATTGCCGGAGTGGCACTTGGACGAGAAAGTCGTTGCAGCGGTGAAGCCAATTCTCATGCGTCTAGGGGCGCACTACGTCTATCGCGAGAAGAAACGTGGGAAAGCGTTATGTCCTGTGGCCAACTTCCACGTGCGGAACGGAGCAATCTTCGAGCGATTGAACTGGCTTGGCGATGTCTCCCCCAAGGTACTTGGTGGTTGGTGCTCCGTTGTCATGACATCGTCGGCAGGGCCTCAAGAACAGTGCCGGTCTGATGGTAAATTACAAGTACGAGCTGAGCCAAGTGGAAGCCAACAACGAGCACTACCTTCTCCACAACACGATCCCCATCGGCGCCCAGCCCGCGTCGCTCCTTCTGTAGGCGCTCCTTGCGCTCGACCACTCGCTCGTCCGCTCGCACTTGATAAATGCTAAAGATTCGTTGGGATTTGTGGATCTTGGGGAGGGGGGACATGTCGTTGCCATCTCGTTTTGGTACAAGTACAAGAGGTCGTTCCTCCTGCCACATCTCCGTTTGGCCGACGAGCAGCATGGCGCTGGCCGCGGTCTCGTCCACCGCGTCCATCTTCGTGCTTTTCTGTGTGATTAATGTGCTCAATTACGTGGACAGAGGCATCATTCCAGGCGCTCCGACCCAATTCCAGTACTTTATCAAAGATACCCTCCATACGTCCATGACGGAGGAAGGGTTCTACCTCGGGGTGCTCGCGTCGGCATTCATCACGAGCTACGCTGTCTTCATCGTACTCTTTGGGTATTTGTCCATCACGATGCGTCCTTTTCGACTGATTGGCATCGGATTGATCATCTGGTGTGCGGCGCTCGTTCTCTGCGGGTTGGCACAACACGCCAAGAGCTTTTCCTTGCTGCTCTTCGGTCGAGTTCTGAGCGGCATCGGCGAGTCGTCCTTCCAGTGCATTTCCCCTGCTTTCATCGATGATCATGCCCCTGCGTCTACCCGTACGCTTTGGATAGGCATCTTCTTCACAGGCACTTCGGTCTGTCTTCGCCTTCCATGTCTCCCATCACCATCTCACGACACATGCAGGTTGGCACGGCCATCGGGTACGGTTATGGCGCGTTCTTTGCTCACTCCTCGCTCGGGTGGTCCACAGCGTTTTACTTGGCATCGTTTCTCATGTTGCCGCTTGCTCTGCTGTGTTTATTTGCCATCCCACGCCACTTTGACACTCCAAGTATCGCCTTCACCCTCGTGGAAGGTCATGCATTGTGCTTTGTAGGCAAACCATCGGCGATCAAGGACTCTGTGGACGAGACCAGCCACTTGATCACGCCCGAGGCATGTTCTAAAGCGATGCAGCCACCGTCGATCGTGCAAGAGGCGGTCGATGTTCTCACGCAACCGATCTTCATCCTGACCGTGCTCGGGTCGGCCGCATTCACGTTTACGATTGCAGGACTGGGGGTATTCGGCCCGCTGTTTCTTCTTGGACTCGGTCTTTTTCAGTCCGAGACAGAAGCGTCCATGATGTTTGGCTCTCTCGTTGGTACTGTTCTGCTTGACCTGGTCGCGAACATCTCTCTTAATCCGTGCCGTAGTCGTAAGCGCGATGGTCGGCACTCCCCTTGGCGGATACATCTTGGATCGGTACTCGGTGAACGAAGCGCCTTCGCGCCGACAGTACCTCGCGCTTGTGGTCATGACAATTCTCATGGCGGGTGGCGTCATGCTTTGCCTCCTGGCGTGGGCCGTCCTCCCCGCCAAGGGCCCGTTCCTCGTGCTCATCACGTTGTCCCTCATCTTTCTCTTTGCCACGCCTTCGTGCACTGCCGTCGCCGTTCTCCTCTGCGTGCCGTCCTCCCGGCGCAACTTTGCCGTCGGTATCTCGACGCTCCTCGTGCATGTTTTTGGCGACGTGCCATCGCCACTCCTGCTCGGCATGCTCAAGGACATCTACGCCCCACACTGCGGCAGCGTCGAAGTCGACGGCCAGATCGGACTCAACCCAGATTGCAGGTGCGCGGAAGCAAGCCGTGTCCTTGTTCATGGTGGCGTCATTTGTAGCCAAGACCAAGCCGGGTTGAGGCTCACGTTCCTCGTCCCGATGCTCTGGCTGCTCTGGACAGTCCTCACGTGGTCAGCCGCCATCTTGGTCGCGCGATTCCGTCTGCCCCGTCGAAATTGACCTCACCACGCAATAACTTAATGCATCGAGTTTACGACCTGGGTGGACTCGATACGGGGTGGATGGGATGCGTTGCTCGAGTTGCTCGAGCAACTGGAGCAACTTGGGACGCAACCAACTGGATGCGAATGAGTTCAAAACGTCAGCATACCACCAACGAGGTGTCGCCGTGGGTGTATTGAATCTGTGCGTGGGTTAAAAAGTCGGCAATCCCTGCACACAGAGGCGTGCCGGTCGCGACGATGCGCAGGAGGCTGGTGGACACTCGATCTCCCACTCGATCGATCTTGGTGTAGTCGACGACAAGCAGTTGGAGTCGAGGGAGGCTGAGGATCTCGTCTGAGATGGACTCGATGGGGTTGCCAGTCAGCCACAGGTCCTCAAGGTTCATAGCTGGCCATGGGTCGATCGCTGAAAGCTGAGCGTAGAGAAGGGCAACGTGGACAAGGCGGGGCATGGAGGCGCCGTCAAAAGTCCGAAGCGGAGTGTGTCGGAGGTCAAGAGTGCGCAGCTGGGGAAGGGCAGGCAAGACGTCGTCGTAGAGTCGACTGGACGTCAGTTGAAGAGACACCAGAGAGGGCGGTAGTAGCGCGGGGGCGGCGGCCTCTACATCAAGATTGGACGAAGTCGAAGCACACGCAAACGTACCGTGGGAAAGAATCGTGCGTCGTAGCACGACATGGAGGAGGCTCGGGAACGTAGCAGAGCCGACGGCGGTGACGGTCGAGTTGTGTAGCTCCAAACGGGCAAGAGCAGACCAAACGATGTTGTCGATTGTGTTCAAGGCCAGAGTCGGGCAGTTCGCAAACTTGAGGGCTGCGAGGGACGTGGAAGGCATGGGAAGGTCGACAAGGGACTGCACACTCATGTTGTTGCAAGTGAGCTCAAAGGACCGACAAACCTGCGGCACGGTCGTGAACGGGCGCCTGAGCACAAGGGAACAGCCGGGCATGTTGCTTGGATGCGAATGCAAGGCGTGAATTGCCAGTGACAGTGCTACCGACGACCAGACGACACTGCCGACCGCACACACGCGTTGAAGTGAGCCGCATGGTTTCGAGTCTTTGGTCGGCTCCGTAAAATCGAAGCGCAGTGGAGACGACGGGCCATGGGTCACTCGTCGGATCTTTTGAGGAGACCGCGCCGGTTTGAACTTGGTCACAAGAGCCGTGATGGAGCTCAAGGCGGAGAGAAGCAGGATCGGTGGGATGGTCGACGCGATGCCTGTGGCAAAATCGGTCGCGTCGAAGTGGGCAATCGGGTCGTCGCACGCAAAGATCCACCATATCCTGAGACTTATGCCAGGTACAATGTCCAGAGTTAGCGAACATGCCAAGGACGCGAGTCGGAGGTGCACTTTGGGAACGAGTCGCTGGAACGGAAGCGAAGGGAACGCCAATATCGAGTACACCCACACGGCGACGAGGTACACAACCACGAACAGGCGGGACTGGACGAACGAGTAGAGCAACAAGCTGTGATATGTGTGCGACACAACGACTAGACCCTGGTGCAAGCACAACCACGTCATGAGGCGTTCGTAGAACGCTCGTGGGCGCTTGGTCGGGATATACTCTGCGCGGTGGAGCAGCGCCGCCGTCACAAGACACTTTACACGGACGACGTGAAGGGCTGCTGCGACGACGTGTGCTAGTAGTATCATTCCAGACGTCGTCGTCGATGTGAATGGAGCTGGCCACGACGTCGACGGGTCGGACGAGCTGTCGTATGAGTACGACGCGTATGCAACACAGACAAAGTATACGAGGGAAAGGACGTGGACAATGACGACACATGCGCGAACGATGCGGTACTGGCGCGGAGGGAGCTCCATCGGGCCAGGTGTACCGTCCTCTCGGAGTGGTGGAGGCACCGGCGACGATGGCGGTGACGCAGCTGCATCGATTGCGACAAGCATGATTGGGTCGAGTATGGGACGCACGGACGAGACGCCATCCGTCGATCGCAGGATGTCTCCCAGCATGCGCATTCGGTTGTGCTGACGCCAGGGGCGTGAAGGGTGCTCGAAGATTGCGACTGTTTCAACCGTGGGCGGCAATCGGTTCGTTGGGTATTTTGACTTTGGGGAAATGCACGAATTATTTTGCAAATATTTGATCAAATTCCTTCAGAGTACTGTACAGGCAAAATTCTACTACTACTAGTAGTACTTGTATGTCGCGTGACACGGCAGAGAAAAAAATGGACAAAATTGCACACGTCTCGTTGAAAAAAGACGAAATAATCGTTTCGACATGCAATTGTTGAGTGGCTCGGCCACTAAGACATCATGGCGGGTGTCGTCGATCCTCTCTCGCGACCACAAGGCGAATGGCGCGCAGGTAAGATAGCTACACCCGTATGCATGCTAGTGTGACCGATGGTGTCCGAATTAGCACATGTTTGACGGCACCGACATCACGTGCTGGACCTCCGACCATGGCACGCCGCAGCACGTGCTTCTAACGTTCCATCGAATCGTCCACGTCCGCCAGGTGCACGTGATGTTTCAAGGTGGTTTTGTGGGGGAAGACGTTCGCTTCCTTGCCAGGACGACCGAGTCTCCCGTCGACTTCGTTCCATTGCCTGTAACAGTGCACTTTACCGATTCGAACGCGATGCAGGCTGTGGACGTCTCATGTGACAATGCGACGCACTTGCTCGTTGTGTTTGGAAGGAGCAGTGACTTTTACGGCCGCGTCACCATATACAAGCTCGCCGTGTGGGGCCACGAATGCAAATAGTTTACACGGGAGCATAGAAGTTCATCGGCTGGTGTAACTACGACTGGGTCAAGAAGTTTGGATGCGAGAAGCTGTGGGGCGTCGCCACAGTCTTGTCATTGCGATACTCGATGTTTCCCCATAGATCGGCTTCCTCGTTCTCGAGCGGCGATGCATTCGATGTGGGAGACTGCTTCCTCTTGTCTGACGACGGGGCTTGCACGATCATCAGCGTGGCGGGGCGATCTCGCTGGTCGTGCTCTTTCCATGCCACGTACTCGTTCGTGACGTTCTCGCTGTTGTCCGAACCATTTTCATTGTCGTCTTTCTGCTGCCGTTTACGTCGCAACTTGACCAACAGGAAGCAGCCGACGACCATGCATGCTACGCCCACAACGGCGCCGACCGTAATGTAGGCAGTCGTTGAAGATGAGGGCGTAGTCGATGGTGTGGGTGTTGGTGGGGTCACTGGTGGAGAGAGTGTGGTTGTGATCGAGGGTGTTGTTGTGATCAAGGTTGGTGTTGGCGCCGCGGTTGTTGTCGGGATGACCGGTCGTGTGGTTACGGGCAGCAGTGTTGTGCTGGTTTGGTGACAGAAGGTTCCGCTGTCGCACATGCCATCCGCATTGAGTGAATAGCAAGTGTAGTTGAGTATGCCGCTCGGCAATCGAGCAATGCACGGTCCACAATCATTGCGTCGAAAGCAAATGTCGTTGGATGGCAGGAGAGTGCAGCTCGTGACGTCGCAAATGGCGTCGCCTTCAGCTCCTAACCATGAGAGTCACGTGGGGAGATGGCACCATCATGCTTTCGTACCAAGTACAACTGCAGCCACGACGAGGGCCGCGAGATGCGACCGCATCACGATGTCACGTAATGACACTTGCCCGACCAGGGTGCGAGATTTGCATCTTGAAAATTGCAGGCGATAGGAATAAAAATGCACTGTTTTGCATAGAGAAACCCAATCAAACACATTCAAAATTGTTGCGACCTTCGTATGCGATATTGCTGTGTATACATGTGGGGGGAGGGCGGCCGGCGACAAGAGCGTCGAAAGCCCATCGCGACGAGTGTGTGGAGCCGATTCCCCTGCGCTTGGGCAGCCGGCGGACCGACGCATCGAGATGGCTCGTTCCGGCATTATTGATGGCGCCACGGACTTAAACGAAACCCGTAGAACGGGATACACTCGGCTAAGTACGTCGAGGAGTTCACACCGCAAGAAGTGACATTGCCGCCAAGATGAAGAAGAAGGTGTGCGGCACTGCGTTGTATGCATGATGCGGGAGGCTCTGATGTGAATACGTAGGTGCTATTGATGGGCAAGTCGGGGTCAGGGAAGACGTCCATGCGCTCCATTATCTTTGCCAACTATCTCGGTACGAGCAAAAGCGATTGCCTGGTTTGACACTACTGAAAAAACGTGGTGTTCAGCGCGTGATACGATGCGACTTGGACCGACGTTGGACGTGGAACATTCCCATGTGCGGTTCTTGGGAAACCTCGTGCTCAACTTGTGGGATTGCGGCGGGTATGTTGTTCTTGGGCACGTGCTGCCACCGTTCGTTGACGTGGTTGTATTCGCCTTCCAGGCAAGACGCGTTCTACGAAAACTACTTTGAAAGCCAGCGCGACCACATCTTCCGCAGCGTCGAATTGCTCATTTACGTGTTCGACATTGAGTCGCGCGAGCTGGAAAAGGACATGAACCACTTTGACGGATGCCTCGAGGCGATTGAGCAGAACTCGGAATCGGCCAAGGTGTTTGTGCTGATCCACAAGATGGATCTTGTGCCCGAGTCGCAGCGGGACGCCGTATTCGAGCAACGCAAGGAAATGATTCTGTCTCGTACGGGGGTACGTCATGTCCATCGTCGCATGGTCGTCATCCCGAGATGGTAGTCGATCCCGACTGTGTGCTTTGGCACATCGATCTGGGACGAAACACTCTACCGCGCCTGGTCTACCATCGTGTACTCTTTGATTCCGAACATGCAAGACTTGGAGAACCACCTGAACGAGTTCTGCGCGATCTGCAATGCCGACGAGGTCGTACTTTTCGAACGCGCCACCTTCCTCGTGATCGCCCATGCGACACACAAGAGCCACCGAGACATCCACCGGTTTGAAAAGATCTCGAACATCATCAAACAATTCAAGCTGAGCTGCTCGAAGACGCAGGCGCAGTTCCAGGGCATGGAGGTGCGCAACTCCAACTTCACCGCGTTCATGGACTTTTTCACCAACAACACGTACATCATGGTGATCATGAGCGACGACTCGATTCAACCCGCCACGACGCAGCTCAACATCAAGGCTGCGCGCCCTGTCTTTGAGCGATACGTGCAGCAAGCCAATTAAGTACATAACGAGGATACACGACAACTGAGCCCGGTCATGCTGATGTGCGTGGCGGTGGGGGGGGGACTGCGGCAGACGTTCTGTCTTTTCGAAAGGAGAAGCGGCCAAAAATGGCGATTTGAGGAGGAGGGGCGTGTGGGAAGAGCGCCGGAACGAGTCGCTCGAGGCGTTGAACTGGAGTCACATGAGCATCTGGCCATCAGACAAGGTCGCTAGCGTACCAGAGCGAACAAACTCAATGGAGAAGCCGCGTGGGCATGGGCGTGATGAGCGACGATTCTTTAGCCCTCGCGGATGTGCACGTCGCTTGCTACGTCGCAGGTACACCGGTTTCAACGTGGCATCGACCGCATTGTGGCAGGACCAAGATGACGCATTAGCCGTTGGTGCAGCTTGGGGCACAGGCAGCAGAGCCTCATCAGCTTCATCAGCCACCTGCCTGCGTAGCATGCGCTCATAACTACGCAAATGTGTGAGCGCTTCTCATGCCACATGCACGTACAGATCATCGAAGACGTCGTAGTCGTCCATCTGCCACCTTGCAATGGAGCGAATATGGAGCATGGGACCTTTTGATTGGCTGTGAAAACAATGCTAATGACCAATCACAGCTCGTTTTCACTCTCTCCACGTAACCCCCACGTGCCAGGCATACATGTACATGCTCGGTTGTGTCGGCAGCATCGCACGACGACAGATGCGGCAGCAATCTTCATTCCCGACGCTCCATTCAACGTGCAGCATGAGCACGGGACATACTCCTCCACCCGTGGCTCCTTCCTCTGGTCCCAGCGACAACAACACAGTCACCCCGCCGGATGTCCCTGGAAACGACTCGCTCGCTGCGAAAGGGAAGCGCTTCCTCAAAGTATATGGCATGGTTGGTGTTGTGACCCATGCTACTTTATCTGTTGCCTCGTACTCGATTCTGTACATGAGCATCTCCCGAGGACTGGACGTCGGGTCCTTCATCGGGAGCTGGACAACCAGTGTCCAGGCCGTTGCGCTCACCAACGCCACAAGCCATGGCACCAGCGCTGCAGGTGTCGAAGCTGCCAGCACTGCCGTCGTCGCATATGCCGTCTACAAGCTTCTAGCACCCATTCGGTGGCCGCTTACATTCTTCGTCACTCCCATGGTCGTGCGTCACTGGAATCGACTTCGTACACCTCAAAAAAACTCGAAGAGCGCAGCTTAGTGCGGCACAGTCCTGAATCATCACTTGCTAATTTCACACATTTTTGCCGTCATATCGCATTGCTGAGTGACTAGGGACGTTGGAAGCATCTGACGCCACACTAGCAGAAATGACGTCGCTTGGCACCATTTACATGGCGTCGGGGCACAAGAGGGCATCGACGAAGGCACGGTTCGACCCGACGAGCGCCATGTGCTGGATGGAGCAGTACCCTTGGGCATTGAGTCGGATGAACGTTTCGGCGGCAATCGCGAGGCCTTGGAGTGCCTCTTGAAGCAAGCTCCACTGAAACGTGGACTCGATGTCGGTAGTCGTGTCGTACTCGATCAGGGCGGGAGACGCCTTGGCCACGTCGATTTCACATGAGTTTCCTTCGGAAGACGACGCTTGGAACTGAAATGCGTTGTTCGGGTGCATGCGAATGACGACTGGCGCGGCGGGTGGGAGGTCCGAGAACTCCGACACAACCTCCTGGAGTGCATTGGACTGGATGATTACTCGGCCGACAACCACGGACCCTTCGAAGCTGCGCTCAAAATCCCCCTGCGTAAAATCGTGGAGTTCATCCTCCACGATCACTTGTATCGCACACTCGGCCAGAATGCCATTGTCGGTGAGGACCATCTGAAAGCAGGCCGACGATTCGTCGAAGCTCCATGTGACGGACGTTGATGCCAGAGTCGACATGCCAAATACACTTAAACCTTCGAGAAGATGGTGCAAAGATATTCGAAACCCAAGCGTCTCCTCTATGTGATACGCATATGAGTCGAAGAGATCGCTTGCGAAGCTCGTCTTGATCTACAAGGATATGATCAGCTCATCAATTGTTTGAGTTTAGCAACCTGCAGAGACTTCCCCTTCGAGTGTGCTGTGAAATATAGTCCTAGAGGACGGCTAAAGGTCCGGCCTTCCCTGACTGTTGTGGATGGACAATCCTACCCGACGCATCGATGTCGCAACGGACGAGCTGATCCTTCTTCCGCCCAAGACTCAAGCACTGCAAAAGAGCATACACGTGCTTTGCATTGTCCATGGAACAGCTCATGAGGATGGAGCCTGCCCCGCTCTCGTTTACTCGCCTTGCACCTCCAACGGGAGACGGCGGTGTCGGCTGCATGAGCGGAGATGCTGCCATGCCGCTCAAATTTGAAATTGGGTATTTATCGAGATCGTCCAACGAGTGGAAATATTTCTCACGATCGTCCAAGTTGAACGTTCATGCGGTATTTTTATTCCAAATCGTCCATCGCGGCATGATTGGCTAAAAATCTCGTGAACCGGAGGACGCGGCATGCCTCGCATAGTGGACCAGGTGTACATTGAAAGTGGCTAGGTCATACCTCTCGGTGGCTGTCGCGCTCGGTGTAGCGTCGTGGATGGCGGATGTGGTCGGTGATTGCAGCGGGCCGATGAAATTCTCGAAGGAGACGACTAAAACCCACTTGGGACTGGCTTCCAACGCTTTTAAGCATGCCAGACTTTTAGCCAATCATGCCGCGACGGACGATTTGGAATAAAAATACTTCATGTACGTTCAACTCGGACGATCGTGAGAAATTTTCGCACTCGTTGGACGATCTTGAGAAATACCCATTCGAAATATACCGGAACCGTCAAAAGATAATTAGAGTCGTGATCATTTTATACGGGTTCTTTTGAAGTATTACGCTCCGAGAAATCGGCTTTGGATCGCTTCCGTCGTCGCATCCTGCTTGGGTACGAGGACCTTTCCCGCGCGGATTGCGATGTGCTGCAGACGCTTCTTCCGTGGAGACGTCCAACCTGGGAATGCGTCCAAGCGCATGGCCTGTGTCGCCTTTCGCACCAGCCAGTTTCGCATGATGCCTTGGATCTGCAACGCGGCAGCGTCGTGGCGAAGATGCTGCACAGCGAGGGATGCAAGTGAGCAGGTAGCAGCAACTACAGCGCATTTTGAATCTTGAAGCTTGGTGATACGCATGAGGAAGCCGACAACACCGTTCCGTACGATCCGGTCACGAACTTGTTGGTCGGCTGCCGCTGCCAATCCCACAAACGCCCGCGTCGCTTCGTACCTGGAGGACCTTCCTCATCAGCCTCGTATATCACGCTAACTGCGTCGGCATACCTCAGCGTTTCGCTTCTGCACGATGGCGCGATGCTCTTGACGAGGAAGAGGACAACCCTCGACTCCATGAGTTTGTGCGTGTTTTCTGCTTTCGTGGCAAAGTCGGCGAATACTTTGGCGATTTTGGCCTTCAGTACGAGGTCGTTTTGGATGGATACAGCAAGAAGCGCTTCCAGAACAGGCTCTTTGCAGAGAAGTAGACGAGGGCAATCACTTTCGCAGAGGTGCCACATCGCTGTCACAACATCCACACGAGTCGCCACGTCGTCACGAAGTAGGTCTAACAAGCACGGTAGGAATCCTCGCGCGATCAAGTCCAAGTGAAATGGTTTGTCGGTGATCACAGCATTGCGTTCCATCGGTATTTGATGCGGTGTGTCGACGCAAGCAAGTGCTGTCAGGAGGGTCACCGTGAGCCTCTTGATTCGCTTTTCCGTCGAAAGATGCAGCTTTTCCGACGCGATCAGCTCGACAACTCCAAAATCCACAAGTGGCTGGCGAATATCAGGTGGAAGCAAGACAACGTGATTGAACACCATCAGTGCCTTGACCCGAACAGCAGTGAGGTCCATGCCACTGGAAGCCGTCGGCGTGGAGAGGGACATGGGTGCTTGCGGCGGACGGTCGTGGAAGGCGGCAGCAAGAACCGACGGGATTATGTCGTCGTGAAGCAGACTCGATAGGTTGTGCGGGTTGGACGCAAACAATTCGAGCAGTGACAGAACGAGGAAAGATGTCGTGAACAGGTGCGGCGGTGACGCAAGCAGCAGAAGAAGACTCGGGACAATGTTGAACTCGACAAAATGGCGCGCAGCCCGTCGGTCTTGGGCTAGGAGGACCAGCGCTTCCAGCAAGTCCCTTCGGAACGCCACGTCCGTGTCAAGGTAAGGATCCTGAACAAGCTGGCACAGCATCTTGGCAATCTCTGGCTCGTCGGCCACGACGTCTTTGTTGCGCTCTGGGGCAGCCAGTCGCTTCAGTAGCAGTGCTGCAAGCTGCTTCAGTTTCGTGTCTTTCCGGGTGGCGACCGTACGGAGGAGATGGAGGACGAGGCAAAACCCGCCACACTTGACAAGAATCGCTGCGGCGTCCGGCAGACTGAGCATTTGAAGCAATATACGCAGCGCAGTTCGCTTCACGTGGACGTCAGCGACGCGGAGAAGGGCGAAGACGCTTGCAATGCCGTTGGGGGCGTTCAGGAGTTTGACTTGAATGGACGAGAGCTGGACCTACACGGAGTTTGACCATCAAGTACGGCAGAGTGCGTCACGATAGTACAAGCTGGAAGAGCGTGTCGCTGGCGTCTCGAAGCACGCACAAGTCCATGTGGGTTTTTGCACCGTGAAGAAGTGCGAGAGCGGCTCCAAGTCCACCTGCTTGGGCCAGAATCTCCAAGTTGGCAGCTACTGTCACGTGAGAGCATGTACTAACGAATGGTGAAAGTACCATTCTTGCTCAGGGTAGCAAAGGCGGCCGCGGCATCGCGGCGGACTTCGCTAAACGTGGACCAGTATGCAATGTCGACAAGTGGACGAAGGCCGTCGAAGTCAATGTCAGCTTGCAAGGTTTGCTGGTGAGAGAGCTTCGCCAGCGCAGTTATGCGGTCGTGGTTGCTCTCTATGAGGGCTGCGTCTGGTCTTACTTGGACTTCAATGTTAGCGGTGAGGTGGATCGTTTTCTTGGTGACTGCAATCGCAGGTCGCCGCTGAGTGGGTTCTGTCGCGAGCGGCGGGCACATCATCGACGACGACGACATCCGTGGTGCAGGGTTCCGCGCAGCCGTGGTAGACTTCTTCAACGGAGATGTTATTGCATTGTGCTTTGATGTCCGAGGCAATGCCACTGCAGCAGTGATGCCGCCGGTCGTCTTTGGCCGTCGCGCTCTTTCCATCAAATCAACATCGAGTCGCCTAATTTTAGGTACTTGTCCGGATACATCCACCTTCAACCTTCCTCTGTCCTTCACGCGGGATGATGACCTCCGTCGTGGGATGGCGGTCGTTCACAGGAAAGAGTGCGGCGGAATGCGCCGCCGTGAGGAGACAACCGTTGCGCTGCACTGTTGCTAGTTTTCCCCCGCTGCACATCGACATGTCTCGGCACGGTTGCAGATCAGCATTTTGTCAAGCGGCCATTTCTCGATCCCTTGCCGCTACGTGAACACGAGCAAAGGCACATCGCGCATTTCGACGATGCGCTGCCATCTTGATTCTCACTGCCGCGCACATGCACCACTGAGCTCCGTGGAGTGCAACGTATATTATAGATTAGTAAAAGGATTAAAGCGGAACAAGTTCAAAGGGCTTGGAACCAATTCACAATCGTGGCATGGCCAAAGCGCGCGGCGAGGGCGCAAGCGCGGTTGACGCTTCCTTCTTCACGGTTGGCGTGGAGATACCGGACGATGTCGAGGGAGCCACGAGAGGCCGCCCAGTTGATGGCGTGCTCAGTGCACCCTTCCGACCGATGTTCGTGCAAAAACTTGACAATGTCAAGATGGCCGTAGAGCGCGGCGCCGTCCATCGCTTCCTTCGTACACCCTTCTTGTCGGTGGAAGTGCAGAAATTGCACAATGCTCAAATGTCCGGAAAACGCCGCGCTCGTCATGGCGTACGTCGTGCACCCTTCCGTGCGGTGAGTGTGCAAAAACTTCACAACGCTCAAATGTCCGTTCTTGGCCGCTTGGTTCATTGCAAACGACGTGCAGCCTTCCGTTCGGTTCTCGTGGAGGAAGCGGACGACGTCCAGGTGGCCGTTCTCGGCGGCCTGGTTCATAGCAAACGTGGTGCATCCTTCCGACCGATTGTAGTGGAGGAACTTTACAATGTTCAAGTGTCCGTGGGCGGCGGCGCTGTCCATGCAGTCAGCGGTCCACCCCGTGCATCGATGGGCGTGCAGGAATTGAAGGACATTGAGATGTCCGTGCTTGGCGGCGCCGTTGAGGGCATACATTGAGATCGGGGGTGCCGGAGGGATCGTGTAATTGGTGAAGAGCCATTCAAGGATCTGCAGTTGGCCGGAGACCGTGGCGCAAAAGATTGCATATTCTTTGCATCGACCTTGGTGGTGGAAGTGCTTGACGGCGGCTTGCACGATGCTGAGATGTCCGTTGGACGCGGCGAACCCGAGGAGGCTGTTGTCCTTGAAGCTGAGCGTTGGTCGGTCAAGCTTTTGGGTGATAAAGTATGAAGCTAGAAGAAACGGGATTCCAGACATGCATTCAGTGACGCGGCGCACGAGAGATCGATTGCCCATCACGGCAAAGAAGACGACAGGGGAGACGGTCGTAGGTGAGCTACGAGGGTCACCTGTGTCGGTGTCTTTGTCGTTGTTGAATGGCGAGATGTGCTTGGAGGGGTTCATCGTGTTTGGGCAGTGGGAGGTATCACGCACTGCAGACGCGGCGAGGCGGCAGTCGTCGTCGTGGACACCTACGACTCGAAGTGACCTGAGGGAACTGGGACGGTGGCACTCACGGTTATCCGGAAAAACTGACTGCTTTGCCGGATAAAATGGCAGTTACACAATCGACAGACCGAGACGTCGAACGACGGCGGGTGGATGGTGGGTGGCGGCGGAGGAAGAAGCGTACTCTCTAGATGGAAAGGTCAGATCGGGGCGGCCGCGGTGCCTGAGGGGTAAAATGAACTATGAACTCAAGTGCCGCCGACCTGCCTGTCTGTTGCGACGAAAGCCGTTGAATGATCCAAATGTTCTGGTACCCAAGGTATGAATGTTCTCGACGGCGTCACCTGCCAAACGCCATTTCCAACCAGCTCAAAATGCCGTTGTCACTTGAACTAGTACGTGGCTCACCGACAGCATGAGAGGACGCGCCTGGGGTGTGCTTAGTCCCATGTCGTGTGCGCCGCGTTATCGGGTGAGATCGGCATGGAAGAACCTATTCTCGAGCGTGGCTATGCCCACGGCAAGGCGCTTCTTCTTTCAGTCCATAATCATGCATGACATGAGATGATGGCTTTATTAAATTATATCCAGGGGGGGTTCTGTTGATCTGCGACACATTCGGATTAGTTTTGGCGACGAGAAGTGGGTTTTGCCCTGACTATCCGTCGACCGCTGGGGGCTTTCTTGGGCTCAGCGACGCCCATGTTAAAGCTGCCGGCGGCGGCCGTAATTGGAGCGGCTTGCCCGAACCCTCCAAAACCACCTGATCCGCTGAACCCAGACGTCGCGGCAGCCGGAGGGGCCCCACCGATCGAAGTGGGTTGAGATGCTCCAAAAGCAGGAGCGACAAATGTAGCAGGGGCTGCAGCTCCAAATCCAGTGGTAGAAGGGGCAGGGGCACCGAAGGCTGAAGGGGCAGCCGGCGCACCAAAGGTACCGCCGAAGGAACTCGTAGATGTCGGAGCTGGACCGCCAAAAGAGCTCGATGATGTCGGCGCAGACCCTCCAAACGACGTAGGGGCGGCAGGGGCTGCAGCTCCAAACGCCCCCGTCGTGGCGGGGGGTGCAGTTGATCCAAAGTTGAAAGTCGAACCAAAACCAGATGTCGTAGTCGGCGGCGACTGGCCAAACGACACGGAGGATGTGGCCGGAGTGCCGAATGTTGTTGCACCAAACGCGGGAGCAGGAGCGACAGCGGTCGTAGTCGCTCCAAATGCGGGAGCAGCTGGGGCAGCTGCGGTGACACCAAACGTGCCAGTTGATGATGCAAACCCAAACGAAGTCGAAGGTGCAGTAGGAGGGGCAGGGGCTCCGAAAGTTCCACCGAAAGTAGGCTTAGGTGGAGTTGTCGACGAGCTTGATGAAGGAGCGGAGCTGCCAAAGACAAATGTAGAGGCGGCGGGGGTTGCAGTAGATGTTGGTGCCGCAGGAGTTGCGCCAAAGGCAGGCTTGTCCGAGGTTGTCGAAGGTGCACCAAACGTTGAAGAGGCAGCAGGAGCACCAAATGAGGTCCCGGAAGGGGTAGCAAACGAGGGTTTATCAGAAGCAGTAGGTGCAGTTTTGAAGGTTGCGAGCGACGCGGAGCTGCCAAGCGTCGCAGTGGTGCTGCCGAAACCAGCACTGCCAATGCCATCGCCACCAACTTTTACGGGGCCACTACTTCCTTCCCCATCGACTGATCGCTTCTTGGACTTTGGCTCCAAAGTGAAAGTCGGTGCAGCATCCTTGGACACAGTAGCAGATGTGGATGAATCACCAAAGCCAAGGGAAGGCGCCTTGGTCTCAGATGCAGCAGCAGTAGACGGCGCAGTGAACGAAAAAGCACCAGGTCCTCCAATACTTGAATTTTGACCACTGACGGCAGTGGCATCAGGCTTTCCAAATGCAAAAGTCGGAGCAGTCACCACAGGCTTGTCAGACGATGTTACGGGCTTGACAGTCGTGGAACCAAAGGCGAACGCAGGCGTATCGGAGGGAGCAGCGGGCTTGTCATTGGATGCACCGAAAACAAAGGTAGGCTTATCGGCAGTCGTAGGTTTGTCTGTGGGGGCATCGACCGCGATGGCAGGCATTTCAGTGGAAGGTGCAGGTTTTAATGCAGGGGCACCGAAGCTGAAGGCTGGTTTTGCAGAATCAGATGCTGCCGGTTTGGCATCAGCGGGGGCACCGAACGAAAAAGCGGGTTTGCCTGTCTTGTCGGCAGGGGCATCAGAGCAAGGCGCGGGTTGGTCTGGTTTGTCTGTAGACGTGGTGGGCTTGTCGGACTTGGCATCGAGCGAAAAACTAAACGCGCCACTGGCAGGCTTCTCACTGGCTGCACTGGACGCGGCGGCAGAGGCTCCAAACGAAAATCCACTAGTTGCCGCAGGTGTCTCTGCAAGCTTTGATTCTGTTGCAGATGGTGCAGAAGCCGCAACCCCAAAGGATACCTTGATAGGAGACTCCTTGCTGGAGACCCCAAAGGAGAACGCCGGTTTGTCCTCCGACGACACGCCAAGGGCTACAGCAGGCTTGTCACTGCTGGAAGATGCAGCGGGTTTGGTAAATCCAAACGAAGGTGCAGAGTCGGACGACTTTTTAACCGCCGTGCCATCGTCACCGGGCTTGGCAGTTTCACAGCAAGGACACTTGGACTGCGAGGGGCCATTGCGGACCTTGCAAGATGGACAGGCCCAACTGCCTGGTGCATGTTGCATGAACTTGGCCAGTGGGTTGGTTGAGGGAGTTGCGGGAGTGGCGGCAGGTGCAGACGACGACGCGTCCTTAGGCGTCTCACAGCTGGGACATTGCGTCATCTTTGCATCCAGGTTGTTCACCAAGCATGCACTGCAAGTCCAGCTTCCAGCCTTACGGATCTTGAATTTGTCCAACGGGTTCGTTGAGGTGGTCGAAGGCAGAGAGGAGGCAGAAGGTGGTGATGCATGTCGAATAATCGTCGGCGCTTGCACTGGGGGGCTGACAAACTGGTATGGCTTAGTGGGCAGGACAGACGTCGCGTTCTTGGACGGAACGACTTTGTTCGGCTTGGAAAAGGTATACTTGACGGGTTTGTTCAACAGAATATCAGCATCGATGGCGACACTGCCAGACGCTGGTTCAGGCGTGGAAAATCCAAATAGAAACACTTTGCGCTTGACTGGTGTCGCCGAGGGTTCCTTCGGGGCTGCAACTGGGACTGCAAGTGTTTGTGCCACCGGCGACTTCTTCGGCAGAAGCGAGCCCAACGAGTTGACTGGCGGCCGGGACACACCTTGTTGCACAGACAGATCCAATTCAGCAGACTCTTTTGCACTTTCTTGTTCCACAAGGTCCAGGTGGTATTTTCCCCACGACATCGACAAACTAGGTGCGGGTTTTTGCGTCTCCTTCGCCAAAGGATCAGCGTCCATGGCGCTTAGTGTTGCCAGGATGCGCTCCGTGATCATCTTCGAGTGCTCGCGGGCGTTTGTCGAGTGGTTGGCTAAAAGGCGGGAAGGGACAGGTCGCTTCTGGCGTCGCTCTTCTCGAGAAAGTGTGATCTTCTTTATCAACCCACCGCGACTCAATCGCGACGGGTTGGACGAATCGCTGAAGAGTTGGATGGGGAGGACCGTTGTGTTGTCGTCAGTGGGTGGTTGGACATGTTCCGTCGCCTTGGCGGAAGTGTGACGTGGGGCAAAGCTCCCCGGCGTGTAAAAGTCTGACACGTCGATGGCTTGGTCATGGACACTGGACGGAAAAACTTTTTGTTGCTTGTTGGGGGTCGAATTGTGACTCTTTCGTGTAAACACGAACGCGTTGGTGCCTTGGTCGCCGTTAGACTCAAAGCACGGTTTCGCAGGGGACGCCGACGCCTTGACTTCGTCGTCACCGGTGGAGCGAGGAAAGGTGAATGAGCGCTTGTTTTCATGCGTAGGGGTGGCAGCACTAGTACGTCGAAGCGGCGACTTGGGTTGCTGTTGGGTCGGTCGCTTCGGGGACGGGGCGTCGTCTTTGTCCACAGCAATATCTTCGATTTCATCGTCGTCGTCGTCATTGGTGGCAACGAGCTTGTTGAGGAGAGGTACATGCTTGAAGAAGCTCAGAACACCCCATCCGCCGTGGTCGTTGCGGCGCTGTCGCGTCCCGCGGGCCGTGGCTTCACCGACGTCTTCTTCGAACGACCGCTTCATTATCCGAAACAGCCTCGCAAGATTTTATACCCCTCCAACGTGGCCCACCACAAACCCCCCGGCTGAAATCCACACAAATTCCACCAATCAGAGCGCGCTCTTTGCTTCTGCGCGCCAAAGCGTCGACATTTGACCAATCAGCAAAATTCCGGATATTTATCCGGTGGATGTGCGCGCCAACCAAAGATCTCGTGTGCCAACAGTGGCGGCGACCCACGGGACGGGTGCGCTCGCGTCAGACGGAACTTCGTCATGGACGAACATGACAATGGGAAGAATCTCCATGTGCGTGTATGTCGACGTTGTCGCTCCGGTGGAGGGAGTTTCATAGATCCAGCCGGTGGTTAAATGGGCGGCTTCTTGTGATGTGGGCGGGTAAATATTAACGGCAGATCTTTCGACGCACATGAGCGGTATCACTTCTTCGAGGGGTTCTATCCGGAACAAGGGGGGATGAACACGTCACTTTTACATGATGAAGCGGCCGAACGAAGGGCACCACACTCTAGACAAGCATCGCCGACGCAGTTGTGGATGGATGTTCACGAGTACTGAAGAGCATCTTGCCGCGTACCAACGGCTGGAGCGCCCTGTCGTTGCAAGAGCTATTCAACTGCTGAAAACTCCACCGTCGAGGAACCGCGACGCACCACATCGTGTTGATCTACGCTCGGATAGTTCCCTGCGGCCAAGCAGAGTCACTCGTTCTGGCTTGATGATTCAAGTCCTGCAATCGAAAGCGTCCAAATCGGCATCGCTCCGCAGCGACTCGAGTCCGTCAACATGGTCCATAAGACCCCAGTTTGTGCCCCATGACCATCCAGCGCTGCTTGGTAACTCTCCACGTTCGCTGCCCGTGATTCCCGCAACATATTCCACCGATCTGTGGGCACCGATCAAGACGTCCCCATTCTTCGGCTTTACTCAACCTTGCAATTCCTTCGGCAGTGTTGCCGCGGACGCGGAGGTACTGTTGGACACCCGTCCGATATGCTATACATTTTCAAGCCCGTTCGTCCCCGCGGCCTCAGTCGTCCACGTATCGTCCATAGAACAGACCCCTCCACGACTGGCGCATAGCGCACCGTTACCACCTTCTTCGCCGCTACCATACGTCGACGAGACGCCGTGCGTTCGCTCCCCGGTCACTTTGACGCCGCACTCGTCGCCCATCGCTGTCCGCGGCACCCTATCACCATCCGTGCAACCCTTGATCAACCGCCTCGCTGTGGACGATGCCTTCCTCCGACAGAGGAGGGCCATTGCGTTCCGACAAATCACCACACCTTCTCCTTCGAAGCGGAAGATGTCCCATCGCGCGACTCTACTGCGCCGTCGGCCTCCTCGTCCGTCGCCTCGGCCGTCGTTGTCAGCGTAATTGTCGCAGAGTCTTGTATAAATTCTATGGGGTAATTAAATTTGGAATTAAATTCTGTTCTGGATATTCATATAGCAGGGTTGCGGTGAATGTACGGAAGGTTGCTCGGGAGATGCTTGTTCTGTAGCCGCATGCCACACTCCTCATCGTGGGTGACAACGTGGGGAGATGGAACAGCTCCACTCGCTCCCTCCGGCACCGTCGTCAATCTACCATTGAGCAACTTGTCCTCGGCCCGCCTGGCGAGCGCCATGACAGATCGTGTCGAATGCACGGATCGAATCGACTTGCATTCGGACAACACCGTCTGACGGCATGACGATGAGAATCCGCGAGTGCGTTTGACGTACATACCGATGCGACGGACACGGCATCGTCATCGACATACCCCTTGGCATCGGCAGTGTCGAGTCGCGACAGAGCGGCAGCATTCAGCATCTGGCGCTCGGCTCGCTCGGCCTGCAGCATTTCCTTGACCTCTGCCTTCCTCTCCTCTCCTTCTTCTTGATTGACAACTTCTTGCAGTTTGGCGAGCTGTTCATTCACTTGCGCTACGTGTGCCTTCAGCTCGACATCGTCCATGAAGCTGTCCAAGTCGAGGTTGTTGGCGAAGTCAAGGAGCCGGTCAACATCTTCCTCTTCATCACGGACCCTCTTCTCGTCCGCCGTCTCTTTCGTCAGCGCCCACATCGGACGCTTCGATCCTTTTACGTCAGCGGCGTCTTCTTCGGGGTTCGTGCGCCGCACTTGGGCTCGGAACTCGGCTTCCCGCTTGGAAAACCTACGAGTCCATCACGGCAAGGTCGCTCGATGCATTCATACCGGTCCCTTCGTTTCTGTTTCTCCTCTTCGTCTACCATCAGCGCCTCTTCCAGTCGGTCACGCTCCTTCTGCAAATCATGGAGCCATTTCTTGTGCTTGGACAACGCCGTGTTCTTCTTATCTCGCTTGATGGCATGCTACGGTGGGTCGCGGTGGATACAATGGCCAACATGATGTGGCGCGAACAGGCATACCAATGGCTCGTTAAAGATGGGCACATTCTGGCCGATAGGAGGTGGCTGGATGCCCGTGAGGAAGGGTGCGTGCTTGGACGAGTGGTCCGTGTCCTTGAGCGTCGTCGGCGGCCCTAGTGGCATCCTCAGCACGCCAGCTCTGGTGTCCGTGTGTCGTACCTGACACGACCCCATTGAAAGGACGGTTGCACAGCATCACGCCCTTGTAGTTGCCGATGTTCACATTCGGGTTCGCGCCGTCCATCGTGCGTCCCCCGCGCCGCAATTTCTAAATGCGCTGGTACGCAAAAAGTCCGACCTAAAAATAGCGCTGTGCACCCAGCGTATCCGGATCGATCGACAATTCCATCTCGCCGCAAACATGATGACATCAGCGTTCAAGGCGGCGGTGCGGTAGGTACATGCAGAGCGCTTTGGAACATGCGTTCGGCCGCGCATATCGTCCACGTGGAGGAAGATGAAGAAAAAACGGATCATTAACGTGTCTGTCGGTGGGTCGTCGCCTGACTCTTCGATGTGTACCATGTGGTGTGGCGGAGGTTTGACACGAATGGGCTGCACCCAGATCACAATATCCTCGTCGCCCGTGTCGTTGGCAGTATCGTCGACGTCAGTGGGGAGGATCCACAGCTCCTTGACGCCGCACGCGCGACGCGGCGGCTTGGTCGTGGAGAACTCGGAGAGCGGTGGCGTGTTGTCGCGCTTCTTCCTTTCGAGCTTGCGCTGGTTCGAGTTGGCCTTGAGTCGGTGGAACTCGCACAGGCTGTGCAGCTGGCCGTTCTTCTTGAACGCACGGACGTTTAGGCACACTTTGTTGCGATAGAGGCACTGGTGGGACACAGTCGCGTGTGCCGAGTTGGTCGGGGACGGCATGATCGATCTGCGGGGCACTGTCCAAATGAAGAAGTGACCCTGAGTTACCCATGCCGAGTTGCATATGACCTCTGATATGTCAGGGACATGCAAGTGCCGTTCTGGCTCCTCTTGCTTCTCTTGACGCCTTCCATCCACTCGCGGCCACGGCTCTCGCGGGGCTGGCGCCGGCCGCGTTTCGACATCCACCATCTACGTGTTTGTTTTGGTATCGCTCGTCCCCGTGCATACCACACGCATGCAGTTCGCCATGCCGACTGAGCGCGGGGTCCACCCGACACGATGATTCGGTGCTGCTCTCGGTATTTGCAGTGTTGTCGACGGAGCACCAACGAGCGTCAGGATGAGGTTGGTGTCACCCGGACCATGTACAAGGACAGCGAATTTGTTTTTCGCATATGTGCAACGCTTTCGAGCGCTGGGGTCGTGAAACTGGCGAAACGGTGCGATGGCCCATCGATTGTCGGCGCCAGAGGTGCGGCTCGACAACCCGCGGCCCGTCCAACGGCATGCCTCCGACGTCGGGTGTGCGTCCACGGTCCCCTTGGCAACGTTCAAGAACAAAGTGTCGATGCACATGCCTCAATTCGGTCAACTCAGGCGGGCGTCGCTGACGTCGTCGATGATAAAGGTCAACCCGAACGTCCGGCGGGTGCCCTCGGACAGGACGCACGTCGGAGCGTTCCAGAAGCTCCTGTCCACTTTCGACGATGTCCCGCCCGACTGTGGCGAGACCGGTCGGTCCATCGTGACCACGTTGAACGGAATGCTGCAGTCGGTCATTTCCGCCGTCGTCCACGATTTCGACAACGCCAAGATTGCACGGGAAGGGTCCGTGCACGCCATCACGTTGTTTGTCCATGGAGTGCAGGCGGTGGCGACGGAGGTGGCGAACCCTGTCTTGGCGACGCTCCTCCACGATTTGAGCGACCGAATCCTGGAACTCGACAAGTTTGTGAGGGGGTACTTCATCCTGGAGACGCTCGAGCTAGACCAGGTCATTGCATCGCTCGACGACAGCCTCGACCAAGCCCACAGCCGCATCAAGGCGCTCCAAGACGAGTGCCATGCCATGGCACACACGCACAAGCGCAAGATCGCCGAGGCCAAGCTCATGGCCGTGATACACGACGCCAAGTAAAAATCCTGGCACGTCCTTCCTTTCACGATGAACCCGACGACTTGATAGAGTGGCCAACATGGGCGACCCATCTCTCCGAACCCGATCGCCAGCCCCCGACACGTCATCGTCCACCGCTGCATTTACTCTTGCCAGCGCAAACGAAGACGTGTACGATGTGAATGCCCGATTGACAAAGCACGTGTCGGAGCTCACGGCGGCGCTCGCGTTGGCGCGGTCCGAGCTGGACAGTGTACGTTCTCCGTGCGTGTCCAGGTGGACTAACTTGGACAAAGGCCCTTCGAGAGGTCGACGTGCTCAAAGCGGACGTGGACGCGCTGGGGGCGTCGACGTTCAAGGACATTTACGTGCAGCAGTTGACGAACGAGCTCCACTGCGAGCGAAAGCGCGTGAAAGCGCTGGAGCTCGAGGTCCACGATTTGCGGGTCAAGCAGGCCGAGTTGGCCAAAGGCGTGCTGCAGAAGCACTCGCTCGTGCATCGGTTTCGAAGCACAGTCCAGCGCCCTCCGACACCGTCAACGGAGGTTTGTCGCCGCGTGTGATTTGGACGGCTTGACCGGTAGTGACGTTGATAAAAGGACGAAGACTCGGCGGCCATGACCGACTCGTCCGCAGACGAAAATTCCAGCGTCGCCAACGTCGAACGCGAGAAGCCAACCACCGCAACAGTCTCTCCTTCCATTCAACGCGCGCGCCACACGTTCAAAGTCATGCTCAACGTCGACGTCAAGCTCAGGTAGCTCGTCCCGGCTTTGTAGCTGATGCGTGCATCTCCAGCGACATTCTGTCTCCTTCCAAACGGTCCATGTCGGCGGTGGCCAACGTCGCGCACGCCGTGGTCAAGCTCAAGGCGAAGCTGCAAAACAAAACCCATCTCGGCACTACCGTCCCCGCCGAGCTGATAGCATTGCGCCAACGCGTAAACGCTTTGTACGACCGGAAACGCCATTACGACGAATTCACGGCGCTCCTTCCCCGTGGTGACCATGGAATTCCCGTGTCGTTTCTCGAGCTCTCCCTCGGATGGTTCGTCGCCAAGTACTCCAAGCTCCAAGATGCTGAAGCGGTGCGTGATGTCCACCAGTTTGGATCGCTGACCGACTCGATACCAGGAAGCCAAGGCGTTCATGGCCGATCTCAATCGATTCCGCAGCATCTGCGGCCACATCTGGCTCATGGAGGAATTTCTCCACGGCAAGCACTCGGACGAAGCTGTGTCGTTTTACCTTTGGGTGGTCCAAGGCATCCACGACGTCAAAATCGGCGTGCAGTGTCCGATAACGCCAGAATCAAATCCTCACTTCATCTGCAAGTTCAAAGCCACGCTGGTCACCCGCACAATCTTCCGGGCCCTCCGCTTCCACACGTGCGGGTTCGGGTACGTGTAGCGTGCGGCAGGAAGACCTTGATGTGCGGCATGTAGCACACCCGTAGCTTCCCGTGGCGCAGACCTCGCGCGAGACGACACACTCGACGTCATGAGTGACTGCCATCGGTTGTTTTCCGCGGCGGCGGCCGGGGGACCCATGTATTTGGGGGAATTCCACGCCGTTTTGGACAAATTCGTCACGACCAACGCCACGGGTGACGACGTGTACCCTCTCGACGTGTACTTGTATTTGCTCGTGCTGCTGTTCAAAAAGCAGAAGGAGTGGCAAGTAACCCATGTCGTGGAGCTTTTTCACAAGGAAGCGATGGACGCGATGAAGGACGAGATGCGGTGGAAAGAGGCGACGCGGACTGCCACCACCACGAGCAAAACAAGATCGAAGCAGGGCAAGCCGACCAAAAAGAGTAAGTCGGCCAAGCGGCGACGGAACAAATCCGCCACGCTCTCCAACAAAGTTGCCATGTCGAAGGAACGGTTTGGTGTGTTCGTTTCCAAGTTGGACCTTGTGCTTCCACTGGGAGACATCCAGGACGTGACATGCCACGTTCTGCGCAGTCGCAGCGAGTACGACAGCGGCGGCATCACCCCCGATGCATTCGTGGCGGCGGCGCACCATGGCGGATGGTTCACGTACGTCGGAGGCATCGAGTGCAACAAGTCGAATCAAGTGGTTTCGGTGCATAGACTCGACTTTGCCACACGCATGTCGTTGCGCGAGGAGTTGCAAGATCACTCAGGCGATCACGAAATCGCGCGGCGGCAGTTGGCGTCCACTTGGAATCTCCACCTGAGTCGACTGAGTGTCCACGGCGAGCGCGACAAGAACGGATTTGTTTCGAGGCACGCCGTGCATCAGCGCCAGCGGATCACTCTCGCATTATCTCCTCACGCCACGTCGACGACGAACCCCCAGGAAATCTTGACGCTGTGCCGCAGCTTCCTCCGATTTTCGTGGCAACTCGGTGTCCTGCGATGCCACAGCGGCGACGACAACGACCGCGTCCAAGCAACCTCCGTCTCGACACTCGACATGACGAGGTCCAGCGAGCTCATCTTGATTGCCAAAGGCATCTGCAGCCTGCCGGATGTCGGCCCGGTCCACGTCCCCCCCGACAAGCTTCACCCAGACGATCCGTACGAAGCCGACGACTTGCAACCGTTCGCAGTCGTCAAGAGTCCATCGATTCGAGACCTTTTTCCCAAGGGAACCCCATCGTCCACGCAAGCGTCGGAATGCGTCGAGCTCCATCGCATCCTCCAACGGTATGCGTGGCACCTCTGCGAAATCTTCCGGTCGTACTCGCTCGTGTGCAACACGTCGTTTGGCCTGACCTTCCTCGCGTTCCAAGAGCTCGTCCAGGACATGCACGTCGTGTCGCCGCACTGCACAATCGTCCATATCAACACGATCTTTCGGGGAGTTGCCCAGCGCAGCGCGACGGAGAAAAACGCAGAACAACCAGCCCCACACCATGACTCGCACGACGACGACAGGATCACAAAGGACGTATTTGTCGAACTGCTCTTGCGCCTGGCCGTCGAGCGCCACACCCGCGATGCTAGGGTTACAGCCCCCAGTCTGGATCAGGACGAGGACAACTGCCGCGTCTCCCGCATCTTTGATTCGTTCGTGACGCAGTTCCTCCTGCCCAACGTTTGCCAGGCTGCAAACCACACGTTCCGCCAGGAAGTGGCGGCGCTTGACGTCCAACGACTTCTCCTGCTGCATCGGCGGTTCCTCCGTCGTGTGTTTCTTCATTATGCAAAGCAAGACAAGCAGGACGTCGAGCGGTCCAAGATGAACCTTGGCGAGTTCAAAGCGTTCGTGTCCGAGTTCCAGCTCAATGACGACGTGCTGTTTCCACCTTCCATGACCGTTCTTGTGTTCAACTCTGTCCAGGACGACGTGGACGAGCGGCAATGTGTCTTCCACGAGTTCACGACCGCTATTGTTGCGATTGCCCAGATGAAGAACAGCAATCCGTTCCTCAAGTGGAGACGGAAAACCGATGAGTTCATCGGGAAACTCGTCACTTTTGCGCACACGAACCTTCGTCCTTTGCTCTTGGCGTGAACCGTCCATCCCGCAACCCATCTTCGTCGGGATGGCCGTCCGCGTCCATGACGATTGTCCAGGTAGTTTGAATTTCTATGCAAAAGTACTAAATTATACAGCAAAAGATCAAAATGTACAAAATACAGCAAAAAACACGCCAAATTATCCCTTGTGACAGTCTTTTCCTTGGTAACACAGGTTCAACACCACAACGGGCGAACTCGCGCTGGTTCATCATGGCCGCGTACGAGTTCCGGCGACGGATGTAGAGTCCCGGCACCGCGCACAGCCGCATATGCTGTCTGAAATGGTACATGCATCTTATCGGCGGACTCTCGACCGTAACGTTGTCGTCGTCGACAACAAACCTAACTCGATCGCGATCGTCCCGTTCTTTGAGTCGTGCAAGGTGTCGAGATCGGCCATGCTCCTGACGAATCTGTCGTGGGAAACATGGGATCTGCGGTGCTCTCCCTTTTGTAAGCGGCCATCGTGGCGTGTTGGCTCTTGACGCCGAGACCGTCTCAAGTTCTCTAGCATCCCCAATGCACTCTCCCTCGTTGTCGCGTTCTTTTGCGTCGTCAACACACCGTGCTTGGAGGTGAACCTCCTTCTCGACTGCAACGAGACCCGTGGTTGCAATTGCAATATGCGTGCTCGAGTTCATGCGGACGTCGAGGTAGATGGGATGGTGTTCTCCGTCATGGGGATTGAGTCGTTCTACGCCGCCAGGAAATCGCAAGAACTCTGGGCTCGAGGCCTCGATCGCCTTGAGTTCGGCCGCGTCCGTTGGCATGAACTGAAGCAGAAAAGATTCGATCGACTAGTATATTACACGGAGCTATTGGACATGACAAAGAACGAGTGCTGACTGCCGCCAGCGGCGGTCGGCCGTCGGCCGAACGGCATGCACGAAGAGGACGGCCGGGGCGCGGGAAGGTAAAACTTGTCGAAGCCTCGGACAGAGAATCCCATGACAAGCGAAATCGCGACGCCGCTGAGGTAGCTAATCGTCTTGGACAATCCACGGATCTTCAAGCCCATGTCGGTGTCCATGTCAAGCACGTCAAGCTCGACGAGTGTGTCTATCATGAGGTATGGCAAGTTCAAGGCGAAGAAACTGAGCACGATGAGGGTCAGTGCCCTGGGTAGGCCCTCGACCTGGAGGCGATCGCGACGGCGGTTCAGCCAGAACGCCGTTAGAGCAGGGTACACGATTGCAAGCCACCGTAATGCCCACGTGCCCCACGAGAGCTTCGACAGGAGGTGGGCCGAAACTGGTTCCAGTTGCCCAGTTCTTTGATTGTGGAGACGGTTGCCAGTGTAGTCGACGACGACCAACGCAACAAGCATGGTGAGGGAGAGGCCTCCGATCATGAGCATGTACCATATGAGGCACTGGTGGTGGCTTCGAGGGGTACGAGGGTGGAGCGCGCGACGCTGAAACTCGTACGACGCCACCATGAACCACATCGAGATCGCATTGAAGAACACTTCAGAGAGGAAAGAAATGCGGCGGATGGACGCGTTTCCGAGAGTGTCTACTTGACCGGTCTCAAACACGACGAATGTGCGGAGCAATGCCGTCATGGACCAGAAGAACCAACAGAGAAACACCATAAACATGGTTCCGTGGCCGGCGTCTCGTTTGACGTTGTCCCACTTGAAGACCGTGGTGCATGTCATTAGAGTCATCCCCGCCGACAGCGCCAGCACGACCACATACCGAGGAAGCAGCTCGATCGGCACATCCAACCCTTCCACGTCGTTATGGAGATCTCGTCGGGGCAGCATGAGAAATGACCAGTTGCATCTGCATCCGTTCCACACCAAGAATGGCAAACACCCATCCCATACCGGGTATTTCATTGGTCGAATCTCCCGAAAGTCCAGTAAAGAACGTATAACACTCCACTGAAACGCTGGGGTTCCTACTGCTAAACACACCAGCACCCCGTTGAATGCCGCATCGACGAGAACGTCGCGGCTTTCAACGTCATCCCCAACAAGTTTAGATATCACGGACTGCGCATTGTGTAATTCATCTAAGGGCCACACCTCGGCCATCTCGAGATTTTGACGTTTTTGCGTTTAGACGTCTATCAACTGTCAGGTAAACCTCACACATCGGCGCTAAACTGGATTTCATTTCACTGGTTTAGTCTCCAAAAAGAGGTAGCGAACTTTGACTTGATTAAAGCATGCACAAGCTGTGACAATTTCTTGAAGTTTCTATTGAACTCCGAAATATCATATTGCTTGCTTGCTCCACAGACATACAACAGGGAGAGTCAATTTGGAAATCTGGTCCGCTTTTCGTTCGCAAGGTCGATTCTCGAATTCACGAAAAGCAAAAGCAAGTTGAACTTGGTCACTGAACATCCAATCATATTACTCGAAACTACTGGCATGCAAACTACTGTCCACTTGTGCGTTGGAACCATGGAGCTCGAGAGCGACGACCGTGCAAAGCGAGGCACGTCGCGCGCCGAGAGCCTTGCCATGCTCGAGTTCTTGCGCATTCCGGACAACTTTGCGTTGATGACTGGCCAGGCCTCCAAAGGAAAGTCGATGAAAGGCGGGCAGAGGCTCACAAAGGCCCACGGCCACGCCCTAATGGCCGATTATGTGAACATGGTCGTTCGCGATAGCACGCGAACGTGGACAACGCAGGACGCAAAGTCCCGGTAGTTGAATGCATGAACGTCCTCATCAACACACATTCATTTAGATACGATGCGTACGGCTCGTCATATAAAAAAGCGCTTCGTTGGTGCGGTCCGAACAACAGCGGGCGAGGTCTCACTCAAAAGGACTACAAACGAAGTAAAACATAAATTGAAGATGAATCTCATGAATTCTGTAGAAATCTTCACGATTGAAAGCAAGTTGGAGAGTATTTGTCCGTACTACAACGACATGAATGTGCTTTTTGGCGGACGCCAGAACTCCGTTGGTGGACGATATCAAATGCGGAAAAGGTCGGGCGGGCCCCAAACTTCGGGGCCCGCCGTGTCGGACGACGGCGAGCATTTCGTTCATCGGCGGCGAGCAGCGATGCGGCCTGCGTCGCGCGGCAACGTCGATCCGGCCAAGGCAGTGTGTCGGCGAGTTGGTGGTGCAGTTTGGCGAACGATATCTGCAGCACAAACGACAAGCCCGATGGCTGACATCAACGACCATCCTTTGTGTTAGAAACGAACAATGACATCGGTAAATCTTGTGAATGCTTTGCCATAAATACTCATCGCTAAAACACGATTTCATGTAGTCGATGAGTCGGGTGATTGTGACGAATCCTTCATGTACGATAACAAGACAAATGGCAATGCCGGGGTTGCTGAGGACAG